AGCAGTACTTACTCTAAAGCAAATACAATACTTAAACATCAAGCAAAAAAGTTAGACTGTATCCACATTTTATTCAATAAAAATGTAAACATTATAAGCTATTAGAACTGAGACAGAAGGAACCATTCTACAATCAATAATATATAATCTGTCTCCCTATCAAGGTAACAAACCTTGATCAAGATTAACAACTTGATCAAATTTTAATGATAAGAAAAGCAAAATCCAGGCCAGGGTTGTGGCTCAGTGGTAGAGTGCTTGCCTAGCATGCGTGAGGCAGTGGATTCAATCCTTAGCACCACATAAAAACAAACAAATAAAATAAAGGTATTGGGGCTGGGGATGTGGCTCAAGCGGTAGCGCGCTCGCCTGGCATGTGTGCGGCCCGGGTTCGATCCTCAGCACCACATACAAACAAACATGTTGTATCTGCCAAAAACTAAAAAATAAATATTAAAAAAATTCATTCATTCTTTCTCTCTTTAAAAAATAAAATAAAATAAAGGTATTGTGTCCATCTACAACTAAAAAAAAAAAATGAAAAAAAGAAAAGTAAAATCCAAGCAAAAAGTTGACAATGAAGTATTAAGCCATGCTGGTGGTGTACACCTATAATCCCCCAACTCAGGAGGTTGAGGCAGCAGGATCACAAATCCAAGGCCAGCTCAGCAATTTAGTAAGACTCTAAGCAACTTAACAAGATCCTATCTCAGAATTTTAAAAAAAATTTTTAAATGTAAAGGGCGTGGCGTGAGGAGATGTAGCTCAGAAGTAAAGAAACCTCCCTGGATTCTATTCCCAATAACCCCACAACAAAAACAAAGGCAATGAAGTGTTAAATATAGGCCTTTACTGTAGTAACTGGAAGAAGACCAAAACAAAAGGCAGCTCCCAAGTGCTCTGTAGACTGGGGTACCGCCCAGTGGAGAGTGATGGTTCAATTCCCAGCACCCAAACAAACAAAAAAGAAGTGGTCTGACTGGACTTCACCTAAACTCCTGAACTGCAAAGCAGACTAACCCTAAGCAATCCCTCTTTGGGAGCTGGATTAGAACCAAGAGTGTTTCAACAGATCCCGGTTTCAGAGACTGACTGAAGAGCAGGAAACAGGATGAACAACTGGGTCAGCAACTGGCCCAATCTCATGGTCAGAGTGGGACTGACTTATTACCTCAATGTTCAATACATCCATTTCTTAAATTGTTTTCCGTTCCAGCTCCCCTAAATGAAAGAACTGCCATCCAGAGCTCCAGGATGTATCACCCATAAAAGTACATTAAGTAATCCAAACAATGTCATCTACCACTAAACCCCAACACTGTTCAACTCCCAGTGCCCCAAATCCCTTCCCTCTCTTTTATACCAACTAACCCTTTCTCCTCCTTCCTGAACAGATCCACCTGAGGATTTTCTTTTCAAGGGTCACCAGTATGGAACACAGGAAATTCATCAAAAATAGAATGAAGGGCTGGAGTTGTGGCTCAGTAGACGCCTGCCTGGAATGTGTGATGCCCTGGGTTCAATTCTCAGCACTGCATATAAATAAATTAATTAAATAAAAGATCAGTTGACAACTAAAATAACAGTAATAAAAAAAATATAGAATGAGGGCCGCTGGGCAAGGTGGCGCATATCTGTAATCCCAGGGGATCAGGAGGCTAAGGCAGAAGGATTGAAAATTCAAAGCCAGCCCCAGCAACTTAGCGAGGCACTTAACTCAGTGAGAACCTGTCTCTAAATAAAATATAAAAAGAGCTGGGGATGGGCTGGGGTTGTGGCTCAATGGTAGAGCTCTGGCTAAGCACATGCAAGGCCCTGAGTTCAATCCTCAGCACCACATAAAAATAAATAAATAAATAAATTAAAGGTATTGTGTCCAATTACAACTGAAAAATTTTTAATGTTTTAGTTGTTGACAGACCTTTAATTAATTATTTATTTACTTCTATGTGGTGCTGAGAATCAAACCCTGTGCCTCACACATGCTAGGCAAGTGTTTGCCACTGAGCTACAACCCCAGCACAACTGGAAATTGATATTAAAAGGAGGGGGCTGGGGATATAGCTCAGTTGGTACAGTACTTGGCTTGCATGCACAAGACCCTGGATTTGATCCAGTACCAAAAAAAAAAAAAGGCCGGGGGGAAGTGGCTCAGTAGTTGAGCACCCTTGGGTTCAATCCTTAGTACCCGCCCCCCTCCAAAAAAAAAAAAAAATAGAATTAGGGCCTGGCAAGATAGCACACACCTGTAATTTCAGGAGGCTGAGACAAGAGGATTGTGAGTACAAAGTCAGCCTCAGCAAGGGCAAGGCACTAAGCAACTCAGTGAGACCCTGTCTCTAAATAAAATACAAAATACGGCTGGGATGTGGCTCAGTGCCCCTGAGTTCAATCCCCAGTACCAAAAAAAAAAAAAAGAAAGAAAATTAAACAGTTAATTGGCAATTTTCTTAAAATTTTCTTGTCATTTTTTGCAAGATTAGTACAAATATCCAAATAGCAAAAGAATGCTAACAGGAACTAGGCAAAATTGCTATCATGCTTTGATTCTTTAATTTTTTTGAACGAGGCTATGTGCAATTATGATTTTAGTGTTTTGTTGTTGTTGTTGTTGTTGTTATTGTTTTGGAGGAGGGTTGTTTAACAGCTCTGGGGATGGAATCCAGGGCCCTGTACATACTAGGCAAGGGCTCTACCACTGAGCTACACCCTCAGCCCTGTGGTTCTGATTTTAAATTGCATTATAAAAGTCATCCTTCCTGCTAGGAAAAGCATTCCCAGTTCTTAAGATAGACTTGCATTTACCCACAATTCATAGTGTTGCACAAATAGCTGCCTGGCATCTGGGTATTACACTTCCCACACAGGCCATGGTACAAACTTTACTGCTGTATTTCCATTTTCAATCTAACCAAAAATGTGGAATAACAGGTGGTCTCCCTGTTCAAGAAATATCTAGAATAAAGATACTCTGTGGGATCTATGAGGAGGAGGGAACTGTCCCTGGTTCCTGAAATCAGTTTTAGAATTTAAAAGAGTGCTTATGTAGAGGACACAGTCTAAAAATATCTGTCAAAAAATGAAAATCCAAGCCAGACTTGGTGGCACATGCCTTAATCCCAGCTCCTGACAAGGCTGAAGCAGGAGGATCACAAGTTCAGGGCCAGTCTTGGCAACTTAGTGAGACCCTATCTCAAAACAAAAACCACCACCAACAACAACAAAAAAGAGTAGCTGGGGATGTAGTTCAGTGGTAGAGTGATTATCTAGCATGCATGAGGCTCTGGGTTTAAACTCCAGTAACAGTGGGGAAAAAATAAATAAAGTAAATAAAGAGACACTATAATTCAAGCGCTAAAACAAACCTTTTTTAAAAAATGTTTTTAGTTATACATGAACACAGTATCTTTATTTATTTTTATGTGGTGCTAAGGATCGAACCCAGTGCCCCACATGTATGAGGCAAGTGCTCTGCCACTGAGCCATAACCCCAGCCCTAAAACAAATCTTTAGATTACATAAAATCTGAGATTTAGAACTACAGAGTAACAAATACAATCAAGGGTACTGGATTTTCCCCCAGAAGTTTTAATGACAGCATGACTTCTGACCTTAATGATACCCAAAGTTCTAAAGTAGCAAAAATCTCACTTAATTCTTATAGGATAAAACGTCTGGGTTATTGGTTTGTGCAAGCAGGGCAAAATCCCTCCCAGCCTCTAAATTCCTTTCAGACGGAAGTCACAATGACAGAGCTCTCTCGGGGCACTTCTCCCAAGGCTTGAGTCCCATTTGGATGGCAGTCATTTTGTAAATGCAGAAATACAGCCTCAGGTCGAGTTTAAAGTCGTTTTGAATTTGAATTTTTTTTTCTGGGAACGTTAAGATTTCGTGAAGAAGGCCTGCACGCCTTCTGTATTCACTTTTACAATGTGGTTTTCCTTTTCTTTATCTCTAGGGCTGGGAATCCAGCGCAAACCTCGCGCTTGCCAAGCAGGTGCTCCAGCACTGAGCTACCCCTGTACTCCTAAGGTTGTCTTCAGGGTCATACTACCCATCCAAAGTCCCCCTCCTAGAATAACACACACTTCCAGCCCTTGCTTCTAACGCAACAAACCGCAGAAACACACGGGCAGCAAGGTGAATTGCTAAAACTGCTCCAGTCTGCTGCACCGCCACTCACAGGAGCATGGGGTAAACGGGACACGGGGCAGGCCAAGAGGGTCGCACGTCCCCACCTCCCGCCCGGGCCACCCCACCCCAAGCACAGGGGCGACTCGCTGCAAGGCCCACCTCTGCAGCTCCTCCTCCTGGATCCTCTCCTCGTCCCACACGAAGACGCCGGCGAGGGCCGCCATCAAAGCAGAGGCATGGCCCGGGCGGCCGCGCAGCCGGCGCCAGAGGCGTCCGAGCAGGACGCAGCGCGAGCTCTCGGAGTAGAGGCGGCCGTAGAGCTGCGCGATCTGCTGCGTGCGCCGCACACGCAGGCCCGTCACGAAGCGGCACTGATTGGCCAGCAAGCCCAGCAGGCCCCCGCCCCGCGCCCCCGCTAGCCAGGCGGCCAGGCCGGCCGGCGGCCTCCGCGGGAACATGCCGCCACCGCAGGCAGAGCAGCGGCCCCGGGAGGGCGCGGGCGGCCGTCAGCTAAGTCCCCTAACTGGCCGGCCCGGAGTCCGTCTCTCGTGGCCCAGGCCAGGCGCCGCCTCTCATGTCTCTGCAGCAGCCGCTGAGAAGAGCCCCCTCGGGGGAGAGCGCCGCTGCAGGAGACGCGCGGGCTCGGCCCCCTCGCTCCCCCGAGTGTCCAGCCGGCGGCGGAATCGCGGTGCCGGGAACGCGGGAACTAGCGAGGCGGGCGACCCCGGCTCCGCAGGAAGAAAGGTCCCGGGAGCTCCGAATCCACCACACGCGCCGCCTGCCCGCAACCTACCCGCGCCTCCGCCTCTCGGGCTCTGATTGGCCACGATCCCGACGGTCTGGCGCTCATTGGCGGCGCCAAATGCCCGTCACCGCTCTCTCCGCCCCTACGCGCCGCACGCCGCGGCCGCCTGTTAGCAAGGTAGGTGGCACCGCGGCGTGAACCAGTCAAGGGCGCCTTGGAGAATGACCCTGGGACCCCGTAGTCGCCGCCATTGCTGGCCGCCGCGCCCCCGCCCCGCAGTGGGGCGCGGCCAGGGGCTGTGGAAGTCCTGCTCCGTGGGCAGATCCTCGAAGAGGCGAGGAACCGTTGCTCAGTTCCCTAGAGTCCGGGATGGGAGCGTCCCAGGCTGAGGGGCGTGGGGAGGGGCGGCCCAGGAGCACCTGGCGAGGACCCTGCTCAGGCCTGGCGGCGCCTGTCCACCGAACCTTCCTCGGCCTCCCCGCTCGTTCTCCCGGATCCCTCCTGAAGGTTCGCGGCGCGGAGGCGGTCCCCGAGGGTCGGGGTTCTGAGTGGGCATGAGACCGCAGGACTCAGTACAGAGCGAGCCACGTGGGCAGTGTCCTATCGCAATCTGACAACGCTTGGGTAAGCAGCCACGTTTCCTAAAACCTGTGCATCACCCGTGGGCAACCTGGCTAAATGGCTTCCAGGGGCATTAAATTATTATTCTGTGTCCCAGTTTCATTAAAACGAAACCGCTGGATGTCTAGTAGGAAACCCTTACTCTAAATTGCTTATTTTCTCTCTCTCTCTCTCTCTCTCTCTCTCTCTCTCTCTTTTAAGCTTATAATTAAGGATCTTACTGACAAAAAGGATTGTAAGCGAACACAGTGGGTCCGTTCGCCCCTTGGTGATCGAGGAGCCAGTGAGCACAATCAGAAAAGATGAGAGTGAAGAATGGTTTACTTATGAGTAAGTAAAGGAAAAACGAGAGGCAGAGGATGTCTTCCCAAAGCCGAGTCTCTCCGAACAAAGGTAGCAAGGACGCTTACTGAGGATACTTGTCACCCACAGAGAGGCACATTCCTGCACCAGGGTGGTAGAAGGCATGCTTCTTAAAGCACATTTTTAAAAATGGTGAACAGTACCGCCTGGGGGTTTTGACATTATAAAGAGCAGAGTTCATTCTAGATCATCTAGAAGAAGTGCTGGGCAACTTTGGTTAAATAAATTCTTTTGGTCTTTTTGGAAGACTGGATATGAGACAACAACAAAAAAAAATTGAATATGTTAGCGATGCTGAGAGGTAGAATGCCATCACCACACCCCCAAAAGCACTGATGCTTAATGCTAAAAGTTAGTCTAATGGGCTGTCTTGGTGTGAAAGGGGCTCTGCTTCTTCCAAGGCAGTTAGGAATTTTACTGTAGCTAAATGTATGCAGTTTTAGGTAGTCTTAACAAAAGTAGACATTTCTCCAAAGAAAGAGAAAAAATTGCCTTGCCAGAAGGTAAAATGTAGGTCTCTCCTGACCTGTCCAGCCTGTCTGATCTTACTTTGGAGATTGGTATTGACATTTATTTCCCTTTCAGAGTAGGTAAGGAGAAATGTGTAGGTAACAAAATAATATTTGACACTTAATTGAGCCAGGTGTTTTTCAATGATTGTAGGATGACCCCGGGGTGGGGAAGGGGGAGTTGAACTTTACTGCTGTCCACTTACTTTAATTGAAAGGAAGCCATTGAGGCCAGCGCAGACCCCAACCCATTCATGGTTCGGGGTTGCTATCTGCCTCATAGAGCAACGTGGAGGATTTATCCTCTGGGAAGACAAGAGTTGTCTTCTCCTCTAAAAAAGCCTCCTACATAGTTGGCTTTGGTGTTGGCCAGGAATGTTGAGGTTCTATGATCCTGGGTTTTCCATTGAGATCAAGAGAGAAAACAGGACTGGGGATGTGGCTCAAGTGGTAGTGCGCTCGTGTGTCATGCATGAGGCCCGAGTTCCATCCTCAGCACCACATACAAACAAAGATGTTGTGTTCACCGAAAACTAAAAAATAAATATTAAAAGAGAGAGAGAGAGAGAGAGAAAACAGTGATTGTAACTAGGAAATCCAGAGCCAGGATAGTTACCTCCAAACTTATTCCTGCTAACTCACCCAGGGCTTCATGACAGTCATGGAGATGGATTCCTTAATTTTAGAGAAAAAAAAAAAAATTTGTTGTTGTGTTGTTTGTTTTTATCAAAATAATTCCTCAGGCCGGCCTGGTAGTACATACCTGTAATTCCAGCAGTGGCTTGGGAGGCTGAGACAGGAGAATGGCGAGTTCAAAGCCAGCACCAGCTATGGTGAGGCACTAAGCAACGCAGTGAGACCCTGTCTCTAAACAAAATAGGACTGGGATGTGGCTCAGTGATGGAGTGCTCCTGAATTTAATCCTCAGTACCAAAATAATAATAATAATTATTATTATTATTATTATTATTATTCCTCAGGGTGGCACATACCTGTAATCCCAGCCACTCGGGAGCCTGAGGCAGGAGGATCACAGGCTCAAGGCCAGCCTGCACAATTTAGTGAGCCTGTGTCTCAAAATAAAATAAAAAGGACTAGGGAAGTAGCTCAGTGATTCAATTCCCAGTACTTTTGGGGGTGGGGAGGGTACCGGGGATTGAACTCAGGGGTACTCGACCACTGAGCCACATCCCCAGCCCTATTTTGTATTTCATTTAGAGACAGGGTCTCACTGAGTTTGCTTAGGGCCTTTCCCTTGCTGAAGCTGACTTTTAACTTGCAATCCTCCTGTCTCAGCCTTCCGAGTCGCTGGGATTACAGAGGTGCACCACCCGGCCTGGCTCCCAGTACTTTTTTTTTTTTTTCAGAAGCAGTGGGGCTTGAACCCAAGGCTTTTGCACATGCTAAGCACATTAAACCACTGCCACTGAGCTGGGTCCCCATCCCCTAGCATAAGTTCTGGGTTGTTTTTTTTTTTTTTTTTTTTTTAATAACTTTATTTATTTTGTGGTGCTGAAGATTGAACCCAGTTATTCACACATGCTAAGCAAATGCTGTACCACTGAGCCACAATCCCTGTTCCCTAGCATAAATTCTTTATTAGTCATATGCCTTTGTCAACAAAATGGAAATTAAAATTTTTAAAAATTTCTTATGATCATGTGTCTCTTAAGTTCGTTATTTTTCTGGTCTGAGTTTTTAGTTCCATTATTATTAGTAAACAGCATTAGAAAACATACAGGAAATGTCAAATAATTATAAATAAAATTTGTTGGATAGTTTTCGCAATGAGATAGGACTGATAATTCTTTTCAATTAATATGATTGGTTATATAGCTAAACTAAAAAAAATAGAGTGTTAATCATCAAATCTATTATTTTTCATTTTTATTGAGGTAGCATTCACATACATAATGTGATGAGAGAGTCTTTAAATTGTGTGTGTGTGTGTTGTATTGTATTATTGTCACCTTGGTCAAGCTGGGTATTACCCAAAATTCCCTTTCATATATTATAAGTCTAGTTAGAGTTGGACAAGAAGATACTTGTAGGCATTTTGGAAGGTAGAATTGAAGCAGGGCTATTACTTTCTGAAACTCTGCAGTCAGATGAGGTGATGGGCAGAAGTAACTGGTAGGTTCCAGCTTGCACTCACTCTCCTTTGCTCTACTTCCAGGGCTGCTTCCTGTTTTTGACCCTAATGACCATCAAGGATCCCAGAGCCACTGCCAAGCCACAGACCCACAGGGGTAGCAGCTTCTCAATCCTCTCTGACTTTATAACTCCATGTCTTCAACTCAGGGAGTCTGTGGGGCTCCACTTGGATTCCTCCTTCCTGTGCTGCACAACGGAACCTTTTTCCGGGCAGTAAACTAGGACAAGTCCTGGGTTTGCAACCACAGTCATGCCATAAAACACTTCCATCACATCACCATCATTCTGAAAAACTCTGGGCTCCTTGCAGCCAATCCTGACCTTTGGCACACATTGATCTGCTTTCTATCATTGGAGGTTTGTCTTTTCTGGAATTTCGTATGAATGAAAAAATTGACAGATATTTTCTTATGTTGTGTCTGGCTTCTGTCCTTTCCCATAAGGCTTTTCCGTGTCAGTACTTTGTTTCTTTTTGTTGCATAGTGTTCCATTGTATGGATACACAAAAATTTGTTTATCTATTTGATGGCCGTGTGGGTTGTTTCCATTTTGGGCTGCTCTGGATATTGGCATGCAAATCTTTGGGGTAAACACTTAGAAAAAGAATTGCTAGGTTGCACAGTGTTTGATGAACCTTTTAAGAAACTGCTAAAATTGCTAAGCTGTTTTTCAAAGCAGTTAAAGTGTTTGTGTTCCCACTGGCAGTGTAGAAGGTTCTGGCATTGCACATTCTTACCAGTGCATACATACCTTGTATCACTCTCTATTGTATTTCATTGGTGTTGTGTTATGTACAAATATGTATTGTATAGTGTTAACTTTCTTGTGCACTGAAAAACAAAAAAAAATTCATGTGAGTCACTTTGTTGCCATATTTCTTTTATTCCGATGATCTGAAACCAAAACACAGTATCTCCAAGGTACACCTGTACTTGGTATTGACAATCTTTTAAATTTAGCTATTCTAATTTGCAGTACTGGGGATTGAATCCAGAGGCGCTATACCACTGAGGTTCATCCCAGCCCTTTTAAAATTCTTTTAACTTTGAGACAGCGTCTCCCGTGAAGTTGCCCAGGCTGGCCTGGGACTTGCATTCCTGCCTCAGCCTCCAATCGCTGGTATTACGGCACATGCCTCTGTGCTCAGTTAGTGTTTGGTTTTGATAAGTCCAGTATATGGATTTTTCTTCTTTGTGTTCTTCATGTCCTAAGAAATCTTTGCTCACCCAAATGTCACAAAGGTCATCTATGTTTTCCTCTAAAGATATTATGGTTTTTATTTTTATACTTATGTTAATGGGTTTTTTTGTTTGTTTGTTTGTTTTTAGCTTTTGATGAACCTTTATTTTATTTATTTATATGCAGTGCTGAGATTCAAACCCAGTGCCTCACACGTGCTAGGAAAGCACTCTGCCACTGAGCCACAACCCCAGCCCTAATGGTACATTTGAAGTTTATTTTTGTGTATAGTGTCAGGTAGATTGGGATTCTTCCCCTCCATCCATATAGATACTAAGTTATTCTAGCACCATTTGTTGAAAGACTATTTTTTCCCTGTTAAATGCCTTGGCATCTTTGTTGAATCTCAGCTATCCTTATGTATGTGACCCTATTTCTAGCCTCTGGATTCTGTTTCATAGGTTGTTACACTAATACCTACACTGTCTTGATTAGTGTAGCTACAGAGTAAGTACAGAAATCAGTGTCAGTCCTCCAAACTTTAGTTCTTATCTTACAGAATTATTTTGGCTACTTTCAGTACTCTGCTTTCTTATATAAATTGTCTTCAGTTTCTACAAAAAAAAAAAGAAAAGATTTGATGGAATTTTTCTTCGGACTTGGGATTGCATTGAATCTTTAGATTAATTTGGGAAGAATTAATATCTTAACATGGAGTCTTCCCAACCCACAAATATGTTATATATGTCCATTTATTTATTTATTTATGTCTCATTTAATTTCTCCTAGCAATTTTTTAAGCTTTTGGTATACAGATTATACAAATGTTTTGTTAAATTTATTCCTAAGGGGGCTGGGGATGTGGCTCAAGCTGTAGCGCGCTCGCCTGGCATGCGTGTGGCCCGGGTTCGATCCTCAG